TCACCAGGGCATGGTGACACTAACCAGGGCATGGTGACACTCACCAGGGCATGGTGACACACTCACCAGGGCATGGTGACACCAGGGCATGGTGACACTAACCAGGGCATGGTGACACTAACCAGGGCATGGTGACCAGGGCATGGTGACACTAACAGGGCATGGTGACACTCACCAGGGCATGGTGACACTCACCAGGGCATGGTGACACTCACCAGGACATGGTGACACTCACCAGGGCATGGTGACACACTAAAGCATGGTGACACTAACCAGGGCATGGTGACACTAACCAGGACAGGGTGACACTCACCAGGGCATGGTGACACTCACCAGGGCATGGTGACACTCACCAGGGCATGGTGACACTCACCAGGGCATGGTGACACTCACCAGGGCATGGTGACACATGGTGACACTCACCAGGGCATGGTGACACTCACCAGGGCATGGTGACACTCACCAGGGCATGGTGACACTCACCAGGGCATGGTGACACTCACCAGGGCATGGTGACACTCACCAGGGCAGGTGACACTCACCAGGGCATGGTGACACTCACCAGGGCATGGTGACACTCACCAGGGCATGGTGACACTCACCAGGGCATGGTGACACTCACCAGGGCATGGTGACACTCACCAGGGCATGGTGACACTCACCATGGTGACACTCACCAGGTCATGGTGACACTCACCAGGGCATGGGTGACCAGGGCATGGTGACACTCACCAGGGCATGGTGACACTCACCAGGGCATGGTGACACTCACCAGGGCATGGTGACACTCACCAGGGCATGGTGACCAGGGCATGGTGACACTAACCAGGGCATGGTGACACTCACATGGTGACACTCACCAGGGCATGGTGACACTAACCAGGGCATGGTGACACTCACCAGGGCATGGTGACACTCACCAGGGCATGGTGACACTCACCACATGGTGACACTCACCATGGGACATGGTGACACTCACCAGGGCATGGTGACACTCACCAGGGCATGGTGACACTCACCAGGGCATGGTGACACTGACACCAGGGCATGGTGACACTCACCAGGGCATGGTGACAATCACCAGGGCATGGTGACACACTCACCACCAGGGCATGGTGACACTCACCAGGGCATGGTGACACTCACCAGGGCATGGTGACACTCACCCACACTCACCCATGGTGACACTAACCAGGGCATGGTGACACTCACCAGGGCATGGTGACACTCACCCATGGTGACATGGTGACACTCACCAGGGCATGGTCACCAGTTAATGGTAACACTCACACTCACCAGGGCATGGTGACACTCACCCATGGTGACACTCACCAGGGCACGGTGACACTCACCAGGACATGGTGACACTAACCAGGGCATGGTGACACTGACCACATTGTGACACTAACCAGGGCATGGGACACTGACAATAGCATGGTGACAATCACCAGGGCATGGTGACACTCACCACTCACTCACCAGGGCATGGTGACACTCACCAGGGCATGGTGACACTCACCAGGGCATGGTGACACTCACCAGGGCATGGTGACACTCACCAGGGCATGGTGACACTCACCAGGGCATGGTGCCACTCACCAGTTAATGGTAACACTCACCAGGGCATGGTGACACTCACCAGGGCATGGTGACACTCACCAGGGCATGGTGACACTCACCAGGGCATGGTGACACTCACCAGGGCATGGTGACACTCACCAGGGCATGGTGACACTCACCAGGGCATGGTGACACTCACCAGGGCATGGTGACACTCACCAGGGCATGGTGACACTCACCAGGGCATGGTGACACTCACCAGGGCATGGTGACACTCACCAGGGCATGGTGACACTCACCAGGGCATGGTGACACTCACCAGGGCATGGTGACACTAACCAGGACATGGTGACCCTCACCAGGACATGGTAACACTCACCAGTTAATGGTAACACTCACCAGGGCATGGTGACACTCACCAGGGCATGGTGACACTCACCAGGGCATGGTGACACTCACCAGGGCATGGTAACACTCACCAGTTAATGGTAACACTCACCAGGGCATGGTGCCACTCACCATTGCATGGTGCCACTCACCAGGGCATGGTGCCACTCACCAGGGCATGGTGACACTCACCAGGGCATGGTGACACTAACCAGGGCATGGTGACACTAACCAGGGCATGGTGACACTCACCAGGGCATGGTGACACTCACCAGGGCATGTTGACACTCACCAGGACATGGTGACACTCACCAGGGCATGGTGACACTCTCCAGGGCAGGGTGACACAGACCAGGGCATGGTGACACTCACCAGGGCATGGTGACACTAACCAGGACATGGTGACACTGGTAACACCAGGGCATGGTGACACTCACCAGGGCATGGTGACACTCACCAGGGCATGGTGACACTCACCAGGGCATGGTAACACTCACCAGGGCATGGTAACACTCGCGAGGACATGGTGACACTCACCAGGGCATGGTGACACTCACCAGGGCATGGTGACACTCACCAGGGCATGGTGACACTCACCAGGGCATGGTGACACTCACCAGGGCATGGTGACACTCACCAGGGCATGGTGACACTCACCAGGGCATGGTGACACTCACCAGGGCATGGTGACACTCACCAGGGCATGGTGACACTCACCCAGGGCATGGTGACACTCACCATGGTGACACTCACCAGGGCATGGTGATACTCACCAGGGCATGGTGACACTCACCAGGGCATGGTGACACTCACCAGGGCATGGTGACACTCACCAGGGCATGGTAACACTCACCAGGACATGGTGACACTCACCAGGGCATGGTGACACTCACAAGGGCATGGTGCCACTCACCAGGTCATGGTGACACTCACCAGGGCATGGTGACACTCACCAGGGCATGGTGCCACTGACCAGGGCATGGTGACACTCACCAGGTCATGGTGACACTCACCAGGGCATGGTGCCACTCACCAGGTCATGGTGACACTCACCAAGGCATGGTGACACTAACCAGGGCATGGTGACACTCACCAGGTCATGGTGACACTCACCAAGGCATGGTGACACTAACCAGGGCATGGTGACACTCACGAGGTCATGGTGACACTCACCTGGGCATGGTGCCACTCACCAGGGCATGGTGCCACTCACCAGGTCATGGTGACACTGACCAGGGCATGGTAACACTCACCAGGGCATGGTGACACTCACCAGGGCATGGTGAGACTCACCAGGGCATGGTGACACTCACCAGGGCATGGTGCCACTCACCCGGGCATGGTGCCACTCACCAGGGCATGGTGACACTAACCAGGGCATGGTAATACTCACCAGGGCATGGTGACACTCACCAGGGCATGGTGACACTCACCAGGGCATGGTGACACTCACCAGGACATGGTGACACTCACCAGGGCATGGTGACACTCTCCAGGGCAGGGTGACACAGACCAGGGCATGGTGACACTCACCAGGGCATGGTGACACTAACCAGGACATGGTGACCCTCACCAGGACATGGTAACACTCACCAGTTAATGGTAACACTCACCAGGGCATGGTGACACTCACCAGGGCATGGTGACACTCACCAGGGCATGGTGACACTCACCAGGGCATGGTGACACTCACCAGGGCATGGTGACACTCACCAGGGCATGGTAACACTCACCAGGGCATGGTAACACTCGCGAGGACATGGTGACACTCACCAGGGCATGGTGACACTCACCAGGGCATGGTGACACTCACCAGGGCATGGTGACACTCACCAGGGCATGGTGACACTCACCAGGGCATGGTGACACTCACCAGGGCATGGTGACACTCACCAGGGCATGGTGACACTCACCAGGGCATGGTGACACTCACCAGGGCATGGTGACACTCACCAGGGCATGGTGACACTCACCAGGGCATGGTGACACTCACCAGGGCATGGTGACACTCACCAGGGCATGGTGACACTCACCAGGGCATGGTGACACTCACCAGGGCATGGTAACACTCACCAGGACATGGTGACACTCACCAGGGCATGGTGACACTCACAAGGGCATGGTGCCACTCACCAGGTCATGGTGACACTCACCAGGGCATGGTGACACTCACCAGGGCATGGTGCCACTGACCAGGGCATGGTGACACTCACCAGGTCATGGTGACACTCACCAGGGCATGGTGCCACTCACCAGGTCATGGTGACACTCACCAAGGCATGGTGACACTAACCAGGGCATGGTGACACTCACCAGGTCATGGTGACACTCACCAGGGCATGGTGCCACTCACCAGGTCATGGTGACACTCACCAAGGCATGGTGACACTAACCAGGGCATGGTGACACTCACGAGGTCATGGTGACACTCACCTGGGCATGGTGCCACTCACCAGGGCATGGTGCCACTCACCAGGTCATGGTGACACTGACCAGGGCATGGTAACACTCACCAGGGCATGGTGACACTCACCAGGGCATGGTGAGACTCACCAGGGCATGGTGACACTCACAAGGACATGGTGCCACTCACCCGGGCATGGTGCCACTCACCAGGGCATGGTGACACTAACCAGGGCATGGTAACACTCACCAGGGCATGGTGACACTCACCAGGGCATGGTGACACTCACCAGGGCATGGTGACACTCACCAGGGCATGGTAACACTCACCAGGGCATGGTAACACTCACCAGGGCATGGTAACACTCACCAGGGCATGATGACACTCACCAGGGCATGGTAACACTCACCAGGGCATGGTAACACTCACCAGGGCATGGTGACACTCACCAGGGCATGGTAACACTCACCAGGGCATGGTAACACTCACCAGGGCATGGTAACACTCACCATGGCATGGGAACACTCACCAGGGCATGGTGACACTAACCAGGGCATGGTAACACTCACCAGGTCATGGTAACACTCACCATGGCATGGTAACACTCACCATGGCATGGTAACACTCACCATGGCATGGTAACACTCACCAGGGCATAGTGATGAACGGGGAGCGAAGGTGGGGTGCGCCCCGGTGCCTGATAACATACTCCACCCAGTAGACCACCCAGTCACCAGGAGACATTGGCTGGTCTCTCATCACAGCTGCCCGTCTCTCTGCCTCCTCTCTCATCCTGCCACAGAAATACCCAGTATTATTATTGTTATTATTATTATTATTATTATTATTATTATTATTATTATTATTATTAAAATTATTATTATTATTATTATTATTATTAAAATTATTATTATTATTATTATTATTATTGTTATTGTTATTGTTATTGTTATTGTTATTGTTATTGTTATTATTATTATTATTTTTATTGTTATTGTTATTGTTATTGTTATTGTTGTTATTATTATTATTATTATTATTATTATTATTATTATTGTTATTGTTATTGTTATTTTTATTGGTATTATTATTATTATTATTATTATTGTTATTATTATTATTAATATTATTATTATTGTTATTATTATAATAATTATTATTATTATTATTATTATTATTATTGTTATTATTATTATTAATATTATTGATACAGATAAGTCACATGAACGTGATATATAAAAGTAAAATAAACTGTAACACTGAGCTGACTCGAACCCGCGACCAACGAACTGCCAGCCACAACCTGTAGCACTCTTTTACTCTGACCTGGTATAGGTAATGATTCAACTGTATAAATCTCTTGGTGCGCTCCTATTTGGATTACTGTATCCAAGCATGGAGACCTCATCTTCGGAAAGACATAGCTGCTCTGGAGAACGTGCAACACCGGGCAACAAAAATGATTCAAGAGCTAAGTCAACTCTAATAATAATAATAATATTAATAATAATAATCTTTATTCACAGGAAGGTATAATGGGTTAGTGAAATAATATAACATTGGTATTTTTACATTCTTGCAAGGCCAATAACACTCATAGCGTTTCAAGGAACTCACGAACCAGTAACGGTTGAGGGCCACAGAACTAATAACACTACAAACCAGGCATGACAGAGCGGATCTGTGTATTTTAATTGATTTATATATACACACAAGAGTTCCTTGCAATTTTTCAAGATAATTACCTCATATCCTTATTCCTGTAAAGTCACTAGCACGCATAGCGTTTCGAGCAGGCCCTAAAACCTAATTATCCCCGGAATACGCCCCGCCCAATCGTTTAACAACCAGGTACCCATTCACTGTTGGATGAATAGAGGCTACAGTTAAGGATTGGCGCCAGTCAATCATCCCCGGCCATGATACAAACACAGGTAAAAGCACTCGTGAGGTGCCGGGCGAGTGCTTTACCACTGCATCACAAAGACGGATCGTATTGGAACTTTTAAAATATTGAACTATTTAGAGGATGTTGATTCAGAAAATTTCTTCAAAAGGTCAGATGTAGCATAAACAAGGAGCAACGGTTTATAGCTCAACAAACCACAATGTAGGACTGGGATCAGGCGATGCTTTTTTAACCCACAGGGATATGAACCCATGGAACAGGCTACCCGCCGAAGCCGTAAATGCGAAAACTCTGTTGACCTTTACAGTATAGCAGGAAACGATCATCAGGACAAATGGGGGACCTTCGACAAGCCGCCAGCTTCCTATCCTAGTCGAGGCTACTAGTGTTAGTGGCTCTCAGGTAAACTCAGGTGAGCTATAGAACCAAGGAATCTAGTGAATCGACGAGAAGACTGGAGGACTGGTGTGTTACACTCAACCCCCAGGCACCCTGGTGTGTTACACTCAACCCCCAGGCACCCTGGTGTGTGTTATGTACAACCCCCAGGCACTCTGGTGTGTGTTATGTACAACCCCCAGGCACCCTGGTGTGTGTTATGTACAAGCCCCAGGCACCCTGGTGTGTGTTATGTACAACCCCCAGGCACTCTGGTGTGTGTTATGTACAACCCCCAGGCACCCTGGTGTGTGTTATGTACAACCCCCAGGCACCCTGGTGTGTGTTATGTACAACCCCCAGGCACCCTGGTGTGTGTTACACATAACCCCCAGGCACCCTGGTGTGTGTTACACACAACCCCCAGGCACCCTGGTGTGTGTTACACACAACCCCCAGGCACCCTGGTGTGTTACACACAACCCCCAGACACCCTGGTGTGTGTTACACACAACCCCCAGGCACACTGGTGTGTTACACACAACCCCCAGGCACCCTGGTGTGTGTTACACACAACCCCCAGGCACACTGGTGTGTTACACACAACCCCCAGGTACCCTGGTGTGTTACACACAACCCCCAGGCACCCTGGTGTGTTACACACAACCCCCAGGCACACTGGTGTGTTACACACAACCCCCAGGCACCCTGGTGTGTGTTATGTACAACCCCCAGGCACCCTGGTGTGTGTTACACACAACCCCCAGGCACCCTGGTGTGTATTATGTACAACCCCCAGGCACCCTGGTGTGTGTTATGTACAACCCCCAGGCACACTGGTGTGTTACACACAACCCCCAGGTACCCTGGTGTGTTACTCACAACCCCCAGGCACCCTGGTGTGTGTTACACACAACCCCCAGGCACCCTGGTGTGTTACACACAACCCCCAGGCACCCTGGTGTGTGTTATGTACAACCCCCAGGCACCCTGGTGTGTGTTATGTACAACCCCCAGGCACCCTGGTGTGTGTTACACACAACCCCCAGGCACCCTGGTGTGTGTTACACACAACCCCCAGGCACCCTGGTGTGTGTTATGTACAAGCCCCAGGCACCCTGGTGTGTGTTATGTACAACCCCCAGGCACCCTGGTATGTATTATGTACAACCCCCAGGCACCCTGGTGTGTGTTATGTACAACCCCCAGGCACACTGGTGTGTTACACACAACCCCCAGGTACCCTGGTGTGTTACACACAACCCCCAGGCACCCTGGTGTGTTACACACAACCCCCAGGCACACTGGTGTGTTACACACAACCCCCAGGTACCCTGGTGTGTTACACACAACCCCCAGGCACCCTGGTGTGTTACACACAACCCCCAGGCACACTGGTGTGTTACACACAACCCCCTGGCACCCTGGTGTGTGTTATGTACAACCCCCAGGCACCCTGGTGTGTGTTATGTACAACCCCCAGGCACACTGGTGTGTTACACACAACCCCCAGGCACCCTGGTGTGTTACACACAACCGCCAGGCACCCTGATGTGTTACACACAACCCCCAGGCACCCTGGTGTGTTACACACAACCCCCAGGCACCCTGGTGTGTTACACACAACCCCCAGGCACCCTGGTGTGTGTTACACACAACCCCCAGGCACCCTGGTGTGTATTATGTACAACCCCCAGGCACTCTGGTGTGTGTTATGTACAACCCCCAGGCACCCTGGTGTGTGTTATGTACAAGCCCCAGGCACCCTGGTGTGTGTTATGTACAACCCCCAGGCACTCTGGCGTGTGTTATGTACAACCCCCAGGCACCCTGGTGTGTGTTATGTACAACCCCCAGGCACCCTGGTGTGTGTTATGCACAACCCCCAGGCACCCTGGTGTGTGTTACACAGAACCCCCAGGCACCCTGGTGTGTGTTACACACAACCCCCAGGCACCCTGGTGTGTGTTACACACAACCCCCAGTCACCCTGGTGTGTTACACACAACCCCCAGACACCCTGGTGTGTGTTACACACAACCCCCAGGCACACTGGTGTGTTACACACAACCCCCAGGCACCCTGGTGTGTGTTACACACAACCCCCAGGCACACTGGTGTGTTACACACAACCCCCAGGTACCCTGGTGTGTTACACACAACCCCCAGGCACCCTGGTGTGTTACACACAACCCCCAGGCACACTGGTGTGTTACACACAACCCCCAGGCACCCTGGTGTGTGTTATGTACAACCCCCAGGCACCCTGGTGTGTGTTACACACAACCCCCAGGCACCCTGGTGTGTATTATGTACAACCCCCAGGCACCCTGGTGTGTGTTATGTACAACCCCCAGGCACACTGGTGTGTTACACACAACCCCCAGGTACCCTGGTGTGTTACACACAACCCCCAGGCACCCTGGTGTGTGTTACACACAACCCCCAGGCACCCTGGTGTGTTACACACAACCCCCAGGCACCCTGGTGTGTGTTACACACAACCCCCAGGCACCCTGGTGTGTGTTATGTACAAGCCCCAGGCACCCTGGTGTGTGTTATGTACAACCCCCAGGCACCCTGGTATGTATTATGTACAACCCCCAGGCACCCTGGTGTGTGTTATGTACAACCCCCAGGCACACTGGTGTGTTACACACAACCCCCAGGTACCCTGGTGTGTTACACACAACCCCCAGGCACCCTGGTGTGTTACACACAACCCCCAGGCACACTGGTGTGTTACACACAACCCCCAGGTACCCTGGTGTGTTACACACAACCCCCAGGCACCCTGGTGTGTTACACACAACCCCCAGGCACACTGGTGTGTTACACACAACCCCCAGGCACCCTGGTGTGTGTTATGTACAACCCCCAGGCACCCTGGTGTGTGTTATGTACAACCCCCAGGCACACTGGTGTGTTACACACAACCCCCAGGCACCCTGGTGTGTTACACACAACCCCCAGGCACCCTGATGTGTTACACACAACCCCCAGGCACCCTGGTGTGTTACACACAACCCCCAGGCACCCTGGTGTGTTACACACAACCCCCAGGCACCCTGGTGTGTGTTACACACAACCCCCAGGCACCCTGGTGTGTATTATGTACAACCCCCAGGCACCCTGGTGTGTGTTATGTACAACCCCCAGGCACCCTGGTGTGTGTTACACACAACCCCCAGGCACCCTGGTGTGTTACACACAACCCCCAGGCACCCTGGTGTGTGTTACACACAACCCCCAGGCACCCTGGTGTGTATTATGTACAACCCCCAGGCACCCTGGTGTGTGTTATGTACAACCCCCAGGCACCCTGGTGTGTTACACACAACCCCCAGGCACCCTGATGTGTTACACACAACCCCCAGGCACCCTGGTGTGTTACACACAACCCCCAGGCACCCTGGTGTGTTACACACAACCCCCAGGCACCCTGGTGTGTGTTACACACAACCCCCAGGCACCCTGGTGTGTTACACACAACCCCCAGGCACCCTGGTGTGTTACACACAACCCCCAGGCACCCTGGTGTGTTACACACAACCCCCAGGCACCCTGGTGTGTGTTACACACAACCCCCAGGCACCCTGATGTGTTACACACAACCCCCAGGCACCCTGGTGTGTATTATGTACAACCCCCAGGCACCCTGGTGTGTGTTATGTACAAGCCCCAGGCGCCCTGGTGTGTGTTATGTACAAGCCCCAGGCACCCTGGTTTGTGTTATGTACAAGCCCCAGGCACCCTGGTGTGTGTTATGTACAACCCCCAGGCACCCTGGTGTGTGTTATGTACAACCCCCAGGCACTCTGGTGTGTGTTATCACCGCTCGCTAATGGTCTGTACAGTAGTCAGAAATGCATCCAACCCCCCCCTCCCCCTTCCCCTCGTCCTCCCAACCATTCCTCACTTCCTCGTCCCTATTTCCTCCCCTTCATCTTCCACTCCAGCATCCTTTCGTCCTCCTAACCATTCCCCACTCCAAAATCCCCTCGTCCTCCCCACTGTCTCCCGCTCTCTTGTCCCCTCGTCCTCCCCACTATCCCTCACTCCCCTATCCCCTTGTCCTCCCAACCATTCTCCATTCCCCTCGTCCCCACCATCCCCAACTCCCCTGTCCCCTCGTCGTCCCCCGCTATTACCCATTCCCCTGTCCCCACGTCCTCCCAACCATCCCCCACTCCCGTCCCATTCGTCCTTCCCACCATTCCCCACTCCCTAATCTGATTATCAAATGATCTGATGTTCTCATCAGAAAATTGGGAACATCAAAAGATCTGGGGAACTTAATCAATAATTTTGATTAAATAATTCATGAAAAATTTACACAAACACTTTCGAACCTGTACATCTTTTCTCAATCTTTGTTTACAATTATTAAACACTTAATGAGCTCCGAAGCACCAGGAGGCTGTTTATAACAATAACAACAGTTGATTGGCAAGTTTTCATGCTTGTAAACTGATTAATAAATGCCACCAAAGCCATCATAGATTGAGGAACGACGTACACGTTCGTAAGTACTTGCGTAACTGCTCCGTGAATCTGAACCCAAATGTTCCCATCACTGGAATATAAGAAAAACAGATCAAAAAACGAAATGACAAATAATGAAAAAATAAAAAAAATAAACTGTACTCACGAATTGAACTGTATGGTGAACATCACAGCCTAATTCCAAGGCAATGTCACACAAAATGTTTAAATCAAAATTAATATAAGTCGAAATTTACGGAAATTCTATTTATCAATGAAATCAGAAACTTTGAAATGGAATTGTAACATATGTTTTTTGTTGTTTTTAGTGCCAAACGTCGCCATCTGTTGCATAAAAGAACATACGCTATAGTAAATATGTTACGATTCCATTTCATTGTTTCTGATTGCATTGATAAATTGAATTTACATAGATTTTGATTTATTTTCATTTTGATATAATTATTTTGTGTGTTATTGCGTTTGAATTCAGCTGTGTTGTTTACCATACTGTTCATTTCATGAGTATAATTTATTTATATATTTTTTCATTTATTCAGTTCGTTTTTGAACTGTTCTTATTTTTCAGTGATGGGAACCTCAGATTATTTAGGTATACATCGAACGAGAAAGTGGGGGAATGGTGGGGAGGACAAGGGGATGGGAGTGGGTGATGGTGGGGAGGATGATGGAACGGTGAGGGGGTAATGGTGAGGAGGACGAGGGGACACAGGAGTGGGGGGGTGATGGGTGGACAACAGGACGGAGGAGGGGAGAATCGTGGGGAGGAGAAGGGGACAGGAGAGTGGGGGATTGTGAGGAGGACGAGGGGATGGGGAGGGAAGAATGGTTGGGAGGACGAGGAGACGGGGGAGTGGAGAATGGTTGGGAGGACGGGGGAAGGGGGAAATGATGGGGACAGGTGAGGGTTGCTGTGACTCAGCAACACGCATGCGTTGCTGAACCACAGCAACGTGTGGCTGCACTCAGCTAGTAAATAATAAAATCCCATGAGTCAGTTTCCCCACAAACACCACAGGGAAGGAAACCCTGACCTCGCAAAAGCAGTTCTTATGGAACACTTAGGGAAGGTGTCCCTAAGCGCATGTAGCTCAAGTACTCTTCAACTCCTGGCCAACACACACTTCCCGGTCTGCAACAGCCTCACAACGCCACCAAGAAAACGGGAAACTGGTTAGAGCAAAACATCGATTACCAGGCACATCTGTCAAGACCTGGCTGGTCGTGCCCTAGCACCCCCAACCCCTCCCCCAGTGGGGGGGGGGGGGGTGGAGCTATCGAGTGGGGGGGGGGGGGGTTAGTTAGAAGAAGTTTAACTTGTTTATTTTCTTTGTTTTTTTTTTGTGGGGGGGGGGGGGGGAAGGGGGAAGTTCTTTTGATAATATGAGGGCGTCGGTCGGAAATTTCAACCAGGTAGTAGTCTGTTTTGATTTGCCTACTTTTCTTGGTGCCTTCCCTGCTAGATGGCCAGAGAGAATCTTTAAATGTTAAGTGTTCCTCAGCCATTGCTTCCTGTGCCTCTAAAGGCGCCAGGTTGTTGCTCGCAGTCCCTGGTAGGCATACAAGAACCTTGGGACTGATGACTCCAAGTAGTGTGACACTTAATCAGTAAGTTAGCTTCCGAGAGCAAATGGGGCTCCCAAAAGAAAATGGAATCGAACTTACTTCTTCTGTATATAGCTCACTCTTCTTTAACCCTTGGGCAGCGGCTATAGAAAAATGGTCGTACTCACCTATGCACAAACTAAGATAATTTTCATTATATAATTATTAATATGTATGCAAAATGTAAGAAAACACAGAAATAAGTAAATATTTGTCGTTTCGTTGGGTGGAGGCGCTGTGAAAGGTTGTGTTGTGGGTGTGTCTCGCGCCTGTCACCGTTGTGGGTGTGTCTGGCGCCTGTCACCGTTGTGGGTGTGTCTGGCGCCTGTCACCGTTGTGGGTGTGTCTGGCGCCTGTCACCGTTGTGGGTGTGTCTGGCGCCTGTCACCGTTGTGGGTGTGTCTGGCGCCTGTCACCGTTGTGGGTGTGTCTGGCGCCTGTCACCGTTGTGGATGTGTCTGGCGCCTGTCACCGTTGTGGGTGTGTCTGGCGCCTGTCACCGTTGTGGATGTGTCTGGCGCCTGTCACCGTTGTCGGTGTGTCTGGCGCCTGTCACCGTTGTCGGTGTGTCTGGCGCCTGTCACCGTTGTGGGTGTGTCTGGCGCCTGTCACCGTTGTAGGTGTGTCTGGCGCCTGTCAACACCTTGTGCTCGACCTTGCTGACGCTACTTGTGTTATCCTCAGATGTTTCACAATTTCTTTTTCTATATTTGAAGAGTATGTGTGTTGGGTAACTTGATGAATTACATAATTCACACAACATATGATAATGTTTCAATTAATGATTGGTTTACCTGGTAAACTCCATTACATCCAGTATTGAGTAGTGAAAAGGATATAAATTTAATATACAATGCTGTTAGGCTCAGGGCGATGGCATTTGGCCTAAATGGCATCATATGGGAGAGAGAGTAAAGATTGTAACAGAGGCGTAAGCCACCAACGTGCACACACAGATGATAATCAACATATCATAACAATCACATTCACCCATTAAGTAACAGGGTTTACAAGGAACTAATGAGAGCAGATTTTTTTCAATGGTCAAGGTAAAATCCATTTCAGGCACATACACCAATTATATCCTTATTTGCATCATACATATAAAACCCAGGCAATACTTGTTTAAATCGTCATATGATGATAGTCGCATTATTATGCGAATAACCTTATAACGATGACAGCTGCCTAATGATTTAGACAAATGAAAATGGAATACCTGGTGTCATCCATAACATGGAAGATATTCTGGCGAAGGAGGTCATAGGTGAGGTCATCCCAGGCCAAGGACCGTCCCCAGCCTTCATTTTGGGCTTGTCTCATGTTATGATGTTGATCAACGAAGACGGGGATACCCAGGATAGGTATAGCATGGTAGGTGGCCTCCTGAGTACTTAAAAGACCACCATGAGTGATGAACAGTCGCAGGCGAGGGTCCCCTGTAAGGGTACAAACAGTAACAGATCACAGTGACTGATGGACATTGTCAGGAAAGGTAACGATGTAACTATTCATAGAAAGTAATCACACTAACGTGACTGCATCAATGAGAAAATCCATAAGAGCCGTGATGAGGGTTCGAACCTATGAGGTGGGTGTGCTCTAATAGTCTAGTCTATATTATGACGCATTGCTTATATATATATATATATATATATATATATATATATATATATATATATATATATATATATATATATATATATATATATATATATATATGTATATATATATGTATATATATATATATATATATGTCGTACCTAGTAGCCAGAACGCACTTCTCAGCCTACTATGCAAGGCCCGATTTGCCTAATAAGCCAAGTTTTCATGAAATAATTGTTTTTCGACTACCTAACCTACCTAACCTAACCTAACTTTTTCGGCTACCTAACCGAACCTAACCTATAGAGATAGGTTAGGTTAGGTTAGGTAGGGTTGGTTAGGTTCGGTCATATATCTACGTTAATTTTAATTCCAATAACAAAAAATTTACCTCATACATAATGAAATGGGTAGCTTTATCATTTCATAAGAAAAAAATTAGAGAAAATATATTTTTTCAGGAAAACTTGGCTTAATAGGCAAATCGGCTAATAGGCTATGCAATAATAGCCTTGCATAGTAGGCTGAGAAGTGCGTTCTGGCTACTAGGTATATATATATATATATATATATATATATATATATATATATATATATATATATATATATATATATATATATATATATATATATATATATTGTGATGATAATCTCTTTCAAGAGGGATTGAGCCTGCTCTTCCCTACAAAATTTACGTCATTCACGTACAAGATACTATATTGAAGATACGTCCACCAGTATCGCCAAACGTTTTGCCCCAAGGAAGCAAAGCGTACCTTGCACCACCAGACACACCAGCTCCCGCCCGCCGTCAAACCAGCAAACTACTCATTCTCCGCCTGCCTATTCCTGATTGGCTGGTGTGTCGCCGCACCTGCACTCACGCCACTACCTGAGTCGACGTCTGGGCCAGCACACGCCTTACTCCTCAGAATATCTCTGTGCTCCTTGGAGTTGACATCTCTCTCTAGTAGACAAAGCTCTGGCTGTCGTGTACTAAGGAAGTTGGCAGCTTAAAGTCAGTATTCTCAGCACCTGATTTGATTTACTATTACTTGCACTTTATTGTCTTAGAGTAAATTTTTACTGCCATTAATTATTCATGTTGTTTTGTTTGTTGACTTGTTTTGAATTTTACGTAAGCCAAGAGATTGTCTTTATTCATATCTTGTTTTCTAGAGTAATTAAAATTTCATTGTTTATACTTTGTGTTTTGTGTGTCTTCCCATTACCTTTTCACAGACAAACGGGCAAACGATCTTCTTTTTTTTCTGTAATGTGATGAGGCCCTGCCCCCAGCTATTGAAACAGCCGAACATCAACACTCCAACACTTTACCGTCACAATATATATATATATATATATATATATATATATATATATATATATATATATATATATATATATATATATATATATATATATATATATATATATATATATATATTTCATTGAATATGACCGCATATTCTGTATTTATTATTTTCTGGTTTAGGGCTTCTATCCCTCTAACTATTTTCTTAGCAACAGGGCTTAATTGGAATAGGAGTTCTCCAAAACTCATTTTCGTACTTTTAAGGTGAAGAAAAGAAGTGATTTACTATAGAGTGTATTACACTTATTTGTATAATTTGCACGACGTTTCGAACCTCCATGGTTCATTCTCAAGTGAACAGATCTTACAATACTAGTTGATTTTATACCCGCATTAGGTCAGGTGATAATACAATGAAGGTGAAGAACATGGGGGGATACATAAGGGATAAACATAGGGGCTGCAGAAGGCGTATTGGCCCATACGAGGCATCTCCTATCTAAACACAAAGATTAATCCAGTGTAATTGGCCTGTTATGTTGGACATTGTCTTCTGTGTTGGCATCGATATGTTCTTGTCTTGTCCTTACTCTCATGGTGGGTAGAGTAAATAGTTCCGTGATTTGGGTGTTCATGGTAGGTCGCTCTATTCTTATGTGAATTGCCTCAAGAATTTGTAATCTTCTTGAATCTTGGGTTTTGTCTATTATGCAAGTATTCTTGTTCAACATTTCTCTTGTTAGAGTAATGTCATGGGCTTGTCTCATGTGATTCCTAGGGGCACCAGAATGAAGATGGCATGTCAAACGCCTCGTCAGCTTGGTCGACGTCATACCTATGTACTTACATTGAAGGTAACATCCTTCGTGGGGGCAAGTGTACATGTATACAACGCTTGACTGCTGTAGAGGGTTCTCCGTCGGCTTCGGGCTGTTTTTGATAAGGAGTTCGGAAGTCTTCTTGGTTTTGCTGCCAGTATACACCAATATATATATATATATATATATATATATATATATATATATATATATATATATATATATATATATATATATATATATATATATATATATATATATATATACATGTGTGTGTGTGTGTTGTACCTAGTAGCCTGAGAGCACTACTCGGCCTACTGTGCAAGGCCCGATCTGCCTAATAAGCCAAGTTTTCCTGAATTTATATATTTTTCAATTTTTTCCTTATGAAACGATAAAGCTATTCATTTCATTAGGTATGAATTAATTTGTTTAATTTGAGTTAAAACTAACGAAGAATATATGACAGAACCTAACCAACCCTAAATAACTTAACCTAACTTATCTTAATCTAACCTGAACTAACTCAACTAAGTCAATAACTTATGTTCTTAATATACTGGGTATCTAAAGTAACATCTATAGTAATCTATAGATATTACTATATTTATATAGTATCTATATTGTATACTAGGTATCTATAGTAATAATAATTCTAATATACAAACTGGATTTTTTTTTGTTTTAAATAAACCAAATCATTCGGCCAATTAAGCCAATCGGGCCTTACATAGTAGGCCGAAAAGTGTGTATACGTATGTCCCAATATACTATAAGTATGTTGGGACATACGTATGTCCCAACATACTTATAGTATATGAACTGCCCAAACGTCTAATGCTTTGTATCTACATACAAGTTTGTGTGATCACACTATTAATTGGGAGGGGGCAAAAAGCATTGCCAATTGCAATGGCTTTGTGGAACGGAATTTAATTGATCTGCCCTAATTAGTCAATGTCCAAATCTTCTCAATGTTAGTACTGGTATGTACAAACTTGACCCAGTTGTAAGTTACAATATTACACAATAGTTTAAGAAAAACTCTGAAAGGGAGGCTTACAACGTCTCATTACAATGTTATGTTCATTTATTGTGTGTTCATGAGGCTTTTCTTTAATCTTTCATCCTTATTCTCTGACCGCTTAATCCTCTTTGACCATTCTGAGCTAAGCTATTCCTGTTTCTGGTAATTCTTTCCCTAGAGATGCGTTGGTCAGGTGTTGGCCTGTATCCTCTCTCACTTTCTCTAGTCAGTCTGGTGTTGACAACGGCTTTAATAGGCTGAAACGTTCATCTCTCTTCCCTATTTCTTTGTGGTTTTTCTGCACACACACACACACACACACACACACATACATATATATATATATATATATATATATATATATATATATATATATATATATATATATATATATATATATATATATATATATATATATATATATATATATTAGTATATTTTGGTAGCAGTCTTTCCTGTAGACATATATTATTAAATATGACCGAAAAAGTAAGATTAATAATTCTAACACGAATTTTCTCGATCTTTCGTACGTTTCTTTTCACTGTTGGTGGTAATTCAAAAATCAATTCACCAAAATTCATTTTTATTTCTAGTCTGATGCGACACTTGAGCGCGTTTCGTAAAACTTATTACATTTTCAGAGACTATAGCTTACACATACACAACTGAATAGAAGTTACACATCTTCGATTTGTTTATATCTACATTTGAGTGAGGTGGATGGGGTGAGGTGGTATTAATAGGGTATTAAATTCCTAAACACAAGACAGAACACGAAACAATGGGTATTGAATGGAAGTGATTTGTAGAAAGCCTATTGGTCCATATTTCTTGATGCTTCTATATTGGAGCGGAGTCTTGAGGTGGGTAGAATATAGTTGTGCATTAATTGGCTGTTGATTGCTGGTGTTGACTTCTTGATGTGTAGAGCCTCGCAGACGTCAAGCCGCCTGCTATCGCTGTATCTATCGATGATTTCTGTGTTGTTTACTAGGATTTCTCTGGCGATGATTTGGTTGTGGGAAGAGATTATGTTTCTTAATGGAGCCCTGTTGCTTATGCATCGTTAAACGCCTAGAAAGAGATGTTGTTGTCTTGCCTATATACTGGGTTTTTTGGAGCTTACAGTCCCCAAGAGGGCATTTGAAGGCATAGACGACGTTGGTCTCTTTTAAAGCGTTCTGCTTTGTGTCTGGAGAGTTTCTCATGAGTAGGCTGGCCGTTTTTCTGGTTTTATAGTAAATCGTCAGTTGTATCCTCTGATTTTTGTCTGTAGGGATAACGTTTCTATTAACAATATCTTTCAGGACCCTTTCCTCCGTTTTATGAGCTGTGGAAAAGAAGTTCCTGTAAAATAGTCTAATAGGGGGTATAGGTGTTGTGTTAGTTGTCTCTTCAGAGGTTGCATGGCGTTTCACTTTCCTTCTTATGATGTCTTCGACGAAAAAATTGGAGAAGCCGTTGTTGACTAGGACCTGCCTTACCCTACAAAGTTCTTCGTCGACTTGCTTCCATTCTGAGCTGTGGCTGAGAGCACGGTCGACATAAGCGTTAACAACACTCCTCTTGTACCTGTCTGGGCAGTCGCTGTTGGCATTTAGGCACATTCCTATGTTCGTTTCCTTAGTGTAGACTGCAGTGTGGAAACCTCCGCTCTTTTCCATGACTGTTACATCTAGAAAGGGCAGCTTCCCATCCTTTTCCATCTCGTAAGTGAAACGCAGCACGGAACTCTGCTCAAATGCCTCCTTCAGCTCCTGCAGATGTCTGACATCAGGTACCTGTGTTAAAATGTCGTCAACATTCCTGCAGTATATGGCCGGTTTCAAGTTCATTTCGACTAAGACTTTTTGCTCGATGGTACCCATGTAGAAGTTTGCAAACAGGACACCTAGGGGGGAACCCATGGCGACCCCATCTACTTGCTTATATATGTCCCCATCCGGGCTCAAGGAGGGTGACTCTTTAGTACAAGCTTGGAGTAGTTTCCTTAGAGAAACACTCTAACAAGAGAAATGTTGAACAAGAATACCTGCATAATAGACAAAACCCAAGATGCAAGAAGATTACAAATTCTTGAGGCAATTCACATAAGAATAGAGCGACCTACCATGAACACCCAAATCACGGAACTATTTACTCTACCCACCATGAGAGTAATGACAAGACAAGAACATATCGATGCCAACACAGAAGACAATGTCCAACAGTCCAACATAATAGGCCAATTACACTGGATTAATCTTTGTGTTTAGATAGGAGATGCCTCGTATGGGCCAATAAGCCTTCTGCAGCCTCTATGTTTCACCTCACATTTATCCCTTATGTATCCCCCCATGTTTTCACCTTTATTGTATTATCACCTGACCCAGTGCGGGTATAAAATCAACTAGTATTGTAAGATCTGTTCACTTGAGAATGAACCATAGAGGTTCGAAACGTTGTGCAAATTATATAAATAAGTGTTTTACACTCTATAGTAAATCACTTCTTTTCTTCACCTTAAAAGTACGAAAATGAGTTTTGGAGAACTCCTATTTCAATTAAGCCCTGATGCTAAGAAAATAGTTAGAGGGATAGAAGCCCTAAACCAGAAAATAATAAATACAGAATATGCGGTCATATTCAATGAAACATATATATATATATATATATATATATATATATATATATATATATATATATATATATATATATATATATATATATATATATATATATATATATAACTGAAAACTCACACCCCAGAAGTGACTCGAACCCATACTCCCAGGAGCAACGCAACTGGTATGTACAAGACGCCTTAATCCACTTGACCATCACGACCGGACATAATGAGGTGATAGCCGAGGCTATATGAACCACCCCACCGCCGGCACTCGGATAGTAATCTTGGGCATAGCATTTTACCAAATCACCTCATTCTTTGGGGCACACGTGAGGAACACAAATGCGAACAAGCCTGAATGGTCCCCAGGACAATATGCAACTGAAAACTCACACCCCAGAAGTGACTCGAACCCATACTCCCAGGAGCAATTGCTTTGCTCCAGGAGCAATTTTGCTCCTGGGAGTATGGGTTCGAGTCACTTCTGGGGTGTGAGTTTTCAGTTGCATATTGTCCTGGGGACCATTCAGGCTTGTTCGCATATATATATATATATGTCGTACCTAGTAGCCAGAACGCACTTCTCAGCCTACTATTCAAGGCCCGATTTGCCTAATAAGCCAAGTTTTCATGAATTAATGTTTTTTCGACTACCTAACCTACCTAACCTAACCTAACCTAACTTTTTCGGCTACCTAACGTAACCTAACCTATAAAGATAGGTTAGGTTAGGTTAGGTAGGGTTGGTTAGGTTCGGTCATATATCTACGTTAATTTTAACTCCAATAAAAAAAATTGACCTTATACATAATGAAACGGATAGCTTTATCATTTCACAAGAAAAAAAATTAGAGAAAATATATTAATTCAAGAAAACTTGGCTTATTAGGCAAATCGGGCCTTGTATAGTAGGCTGAGAAGTGCATTCTGGCTACTAGGTACGACATATATATACATATATATATATATATATATATATATATATATATATATATATATATATATATATATATATATATATATATATATATATATATATATATATATATATATATATATATATATATATATATATATATATATCAGGTCAGTAGCAGCTGCCTCAAATTGGCCAACAAGAGCTTCCTTGTACATAGTATATTGGTGGTACTCGTATGGGCCTATAAGAGCTACTTCATATGGACATTAACAGCTGTCTCCGAAAAGCCAAAACAAGCTGCTTCGATTGAACAATGGTTCAATCGAAGCTGTCTCGAATGAGCAAAATGCCTTTGCCAATTTCCTTAATTCTAATGTTTTGAGTAGACTGACCAAGAATATCCTGCTGGGGGAGCCACTTGGCGAGACGGACATTGGACGGGAGATCTTCCATGGTGTCCTCGTCCCACTTCCAGAGGACCCGCTGCTCTAGGGACGCGAACACCTCCACCAGCACCCGCCGGTACCTGCAGGGGCATGACCAGCTCATAGTCAACCACGGTATAACCAGGAGACGCAGATAACCGCAACTGGTTGACACACGTCATGCTTATACGACTGCGTGATGTCTGTCAAAATTACTATAATTTATATATTGGATATATGTCAACATGAAGAGTTATTAAACTTGACATGACAAAATTAATACTGTTCAATAGACACATGTCAAAATTATTACTATACTTGACACATGTCAAAATAAGGAATTACTATACACGACAGATGTCAAAATAAAGAATTACTATACTTGGCAAACGAAAAAAGAATAATTGGACGTCATCCTTCTCAACAGAAATCTTAACATTCTGACAGGTCAAATTTCTTGAAAGTTATAGCATAATACAGTTCAGTGTAGGTTACAAAGAGAGGCCACAGGTCAGGGTAAGTTACAAAGAGGTGCCACAGGTCAAGGATGGTTACAAAGAGGTGCCACAGGTCAAGGATGGTTACAAAGAGGTGCCACAGGTCAAGGATGGTTACAAAGAGGTGCCACAGGTCAAGGTAAGTTATGAAGCGGTACCACAGGTCAAGGGAGGCTATGAAACGGTGCCACTGGTCAAGAGAGGCTATGAAGCGGTGCCACAGATCAAGGGAGGCTATGAAGCGGCGCCACAGGTCAAGGGATCCTATGAAGCGGTACCACAGGTCAAAGGAGGCTATGAAACGGTGCCACAGGTCAAGGGTGGCTATGAAGCGGTGCCCCAGGTCAAGGGAACCTATGAAGCGGTTCCACATGTCCATTGAGGCTATGAAGCGGTGCCACAGGTCAAAGGAGGCTATGAAGCGGTGCCCCAGGTCAAGGGAGGCTATGAAGCGTTGCCCCGGGTCAAGGGATCCTATGAAACAGTTCCACATGTCAATTGAGGCTATGAAGCGGTGCCACAGGTCAAAGGAGGCTATGAAGCGGTGACACAGGTCAAAGGAGGCTATGAAGCGGTGCTACAGGTCAAGGGAGGCTATGAAGCGGTGCCACAGGTCAAGGGAGGCTACGAAGCGGTGACCCAGGTCAAGGGATCCTATGAAGCGGTTCCACACGTCAATTGAGGCTATGAAGCGGTGCCACAGGTCAAGGAAGGCTATGAAGCGGTGCCCCAGGTCAAGGGATCCTATGAAGCGGTTCCACATGTCCATTGAGGCTATGAAGCAGTGCCACAGGTCAAGGGAGGCTATGAAGCGGTGCCACAGGTCAAGGGAGGCTATGAAGCGGTGCCACATGTCAAGGGATCCTATGAAGCGGTTCCACATGTCCATTGAGGCTATGAAGCAGTGCCACAGGTCAAGGGAGGCTATGAAGCGGTGCTACTGGTCAAGGGAGGCTATGAAGCGGTGCAACAGGTCAAGGGAGGCTATAAAGCGGTGGCACAGGTAAAGGGAGGCTATGAAGCGGTGCCACAGGTCAAGGGAGGCTACGAAGCGGTGACCCAGGTCAAGGGATCTTATGAAGCGGTTCCACACGTCAATTGAGGCTATGAAGCGGTGCCACAGGTCAAGGAAGGCTATGAAGCGGTGCCATAGGTCAAGGGAGGCTATGAAGCGGTGCCACAGGTCAAGGGAGGCTATGAAGCGGTGCAACAGGTCAAGGGAGGCTACGAAGCGGTGATCCAGGTCAAGAGATCCTATGAAGCAGTTCCACAGGTCAATTGAGGCTATGAAGAGGTGCCACAGGTCAAGGGAGGCCATGAAGCGGTGCCATAGGTCAAGGGAGGCTATGAAGCGGTAACACAGGTCAAAGGAGGCTATGAAGCGGTGCCACAGGTCAAGGGAGGCTACGAAGCGGTGACCCAGGTCAAGGGATCCTATGAAGCGGTTCCACACGTCAATTGAGGCTATGAAGCGGTGCCACAGGTCAAGGAAGGCTATGAAGCGGTGCCCCAGGTCAAGGGAACCTATGAAGCGGTGCCACAGGTCAAGGGAGGCTATGAAGCGGTGCCACAGGTCAAGTTAGGCTATGAAGCGGTGCCACAGGTCAAGGGAGGCTATGAAGCGGTGCCACAGGTCAAGTTAGGCTATGAAGCGGTGCCACTGGTCAAGAGAGGCTATGAAGCGGTGCCACAGGTCAAGGGAGGCTATGAAGCGGCGCCACAGGTCAAGGGATCCTATGAAGCGGTACCACAGGTCAAGGGAGGCTATGAAGCGGTGCCCCAGGTCAAGGGATCCTATGAAGCGGTGCCACAGGTCAAGGGAGGCTATGAAGCAATTCCACATGTCAATTGAGGCTATGAAGCGGTGCCACAGGTCAAAGGAGGCTATGAAGCGGTGTCACAGGTCAAGGGAGGCTATGAAGCGGTGCCACAGGTCAAGGGAGGCTGTGAAGCGGTGCCACAGGTCAAGGGAGGCTATGAAGCGGTGCCACAGGTCAAGGGAGGCTACGAAGCGGTGACCCAGGTCAAGGGATCCTATGAAGCGGTTCCACACGTCAATTGAGGCTATGAAGCGGTGCCACAGGTCAAGGAAGGCTATGAAGCGGTGCCCCAGGTCAAGGGATCCTATGAAGCGGTTCCACACGTCAATTGAGGCTATGAAGCGGTGCCACAGGTCAAGGAAGGCTATGAAGCGATGCCCCAGGTCAAGGGATCCTATGAAGCGGTTCCACATGTCCATTGAGGCTATGAAGCGGTGCCCCAGGTCAAGGGATCCTATGAAGCGGTGCCACAGATCAAGGGAGGCTATGAAGCAATTCCACATGTCAATTGAGGCTATGAAGCGGTGCCACAGGTCAAAGGAGGTTATGAAGCGGTGCCACAGGTCAAGGGAGGCTATGAAGCGGTGCCACAGGTCAAGGGAGGCTATGATGTGGTGCCAAAGGTCAAGGGAGGCTATGAAGCGGTGCCACAGGTCAAGGGATCCTCTGAAGCGGTGCCACAGATCAAGGGAGGCTATGAAGCAATTCCACATGTCAATTGAGGCTATGAAGCGGTGCCACAGGTCAAAGGAGGCTATGAAGCGGTGCCACAGGTCAAGGGAGGCTATGAAGCGGGGCCACATGTCAAGGGAGGCTACGCAGCGGTGACCCAGGTCAAGAGATCCTATGAAGCAGTCCCACAGGTCAACTGAGGCTATGAAGCGGTGCCACAGGTCTAAGAAGGCTATGAAGCGGTGCCCCAGGTCAAGGGAGGCTATGAAGCGGTGCCACGGGTCAAGGGAGGCTACGAAGCGGTGACCCAGGTCAAGGGAGGCTATGAAGCGGGGCCATAGGTCAAGGGGAGGCTATGAAGCGGGGTCACAGGTCAAGGGAGGCTATGAAGCGGGGCCATAGGTCAAGGGGAGGCTATGAAGCGGTGCCACAGGTCAAGGGAGGCTATGAAGCGGCGCCACAGGTCAAGGGAGGCTATGAAGCGGTGCCACAGGTCAAGGGAGACTATGAAGCGGTGCCACAGGTCAAGGAAGGCTATGAAGCGGTGCCACAGGTCAAGGGAGACTATGAAGCGGTGCCACAGGTCAAGGGAGGCTATGAAGCGGTGCTATAGGTCAAGGGAGGCTATGAAGCGGTGCCACAGGTCAAGGGAGACTATGAAGCGGTGCCACAGGTCAAGGGAGGCTATGAAGTGGTGCCAAAGGTCAAGGGAGGCTATGAAGCGGTGCCACAGGTCAAGGGATCCTATGAAGCGGTGCCACAGATCAAGGGAGGCTATGAAGCAATTCCACATGTCAATTGAGGCTATGAAGCGGTGCCACAGGTCAAAGGAGGCTATGAAGCGGTGCCACAGGTCAAGGGAGGCTATGAAGCGGGGCCACAGGTCAAGGGAGGCTACGAAGCGGTGACCCAGGTCAAGAGATCCTATGAAGCAGTCCCACAGGTCAACTGAGGCTATGAAGCGGTGCCACAGGTCAAGGGAGGCTATGAAGCGGTGCTATAGGTCAAGGGAGGCTATGAAGCGGTGCCACAGGTCAAGGGAGACTATGAAGCGGTGCCTCAGGTCAAGGGAGGCTATGAAGCGGTGCCATCGGTCAAGGGAAGCTATGAAGTGGTTCCACAGGTCAAGGGAGGCTATGAAGCGGTGCCACAGGTCAAGGGAGGCTATGAAGCGGTGCCACAGGTCAAGGGAGGCTATGAAGCGGTGCCACAGGTCAAGGGAGGCTATGAAGCGGTGCCACAGGTCAAGGGAGGCTATGAAGCGGTGCCACAGGTCAAGGGAGGCTATGAAGCGGTGCCACAGGTCAAGGAGAGGCTATGAAGCGGTGCCACAGGTCAATGGAGGCTATGAAGCGGTGCCACAGGTCAAGGGGAGACTATGAAGCGGTGCCACATGTCCATTGAGGCTATGAAATAGTGCCACAGGTCAAGGGAGGCTATGAAGCGTTGCTACAGGTCAAGGGAGACTATGAAGCGGTGCCTCAGGTCAAGGGGTCCTTTGAAGTGGTTCCACATGTTCATTGAGGCTATGAAGCAGTGCTCTAGGTCAAGGGAGGCTATGAAGCGGTGCCACAGGTCAAGGAGAGGCTATGAAGCGGTGCCACAGGTCAATGGAGGCTATGAAGCGGTGCCACAGGTCAAGGGGAGATTATGAAGCGGTGCCACATGTCCATTGAGGCTATGAAATAGTGCCACAGGTCAAGGGAGGCTATGAAGCGTTGCCACAGGTCAAGGGAGGCTATGAAGCGGTGCCCCAGGTCAAGGGGTCCTTTGAAGCGGTTCCACATATCCATTGAGGCTATGAAGCAGTGCTATAGGTCAAGGGAGGCTATGAAGCGGTGCCACAAGTCAAGGGAGACTATGAAGCGGTGCCACAGGTCAAGGGAGGCTATGAAGCGGTGCCACATGTCAAGGGGAGGCTATAAGGCGGTGCCACAGGTCAAGGGGAGGCTATAAGGCGGTGCCACAGGTCAAGGGGAGGCTATGAAATGGTGCCACACGTCAAGGGAGGCTATGAAGCGGTGTCACAGGTCAAGGGAGACTATGAAGCGGTGCCACAGGTCAAGGGGAGGCTATAAGGCGGTGCCACAGGTCAAGGGGAGGCTATAAGGC